AGCGTGCCACTGCACTCCAGCCTGGGCGATGGAGTGAGACTCCAACTCAAAAAAAAAGAATGTAAGGCAGCTTAAGCAGCAGCAACAGCCAGGCCCAGGACAGTGCAAGAGGTGCTAGGTTTTGACAAATTTGCCTTGTGTGTGAGTGGCAGTTGTGCTTGGCTCCAGAGGTGTTGGAAAGTCTGCTCTGACTGTACAATTTGTCCAAGGAATTTTTGTTGAAAAATACAGACAATGCCAAAAACTGTATACACATTTTAAGTGATGTTATCTATGTATTACTTTTTGAAGTTGAATTAAACTAGGGTAGCAATGTATGGTATCACATTCATTCAACTATGCTTCTACCATTTTCTTGACCATCCTGCCTGTCACCTGGTGGTGCTAGCATTTATTTGATGAACACCATCTTTTGAGTGAACGGCATACTAAAAATGGATATGCATTTTTTGGCACCCCCATATGATTCTACGATAGACGATTCTTACAGGAAAGCAGGTGGATGTAAATGCACAATAGTGTAAGCTTGGAATCTTGGATGCTGTAAGAACGGAACAATGGACAGCAATGAGGAATTTGAACACGAAAAATGAACAAAGTTTTGCATGAGTTCACTTCATCACAGCATGGTTCACATTTAATCATTTACAATCTGGGGAACTGATTCTTCAAGTTAAAGACACTTATAGTGTTCCAAAGATTATGGTCAGTAGTGTGACTTGGAAGATGAAACAGTCGTAGGAAAGGAACAAGGTCAAAATCTAGCAAGACAATGAACAACTAACTATGCATTCCTAGAATCTTCTGCAAAATCAAAAATAAATGTGAGCCGGGCTTGGTGGCTCAGTCTGTAACCCCGTGCTTTGGGAGGCCGAGGTGAATGGATTGCCTGAGCCCGTGGGTTCGAGACCCACCTGGGCAACTTGGCGAGACCTCATCTCTACAATAAATCAAAAAATTAGCCGGGCGTGGGTAGCGCGAGCCTGTAGTTCCAGCTACTGGGAAGGCTGAGGTGGAAGGATTGCCGGAGCCCAGCAGGTCGAGGCTGCGGTGGCCCGGAGCGGCCACTGCACTCCAGTCTGGGCGACAGAGTGAGACTCCAACTCAAAAAAAAAAAAAAAAAAAAAATAGCACTGACAGCAAATGCCAGTTGAGCACTTAGTATTGCTCTAAGCACTTTACAGCATCTAGAAGAGATTCTCTTTTCATGCCCACTCAGGAGGTGAGGCACAGACGTAAGTAACTTGCCAGGGATCCCACAGATGCTGAGTGGCAGCAAAGTAATTTGTACCTATAGAGTCTGACCCCTGAGTCCACTCTTCAGACCTCCCCAGAGAGAGATGTAGAAGGGCAAAGTTTAATTTTCAAATAGTAACATCTGTTAACTTCTCACCTTCTGCGGCAAAGATTGGCCAGTTCACATGTTCACAGTTACTGATACACAGTCCTTACAGTCCATGCTGGTCTCCTGGAAGCTCTTGAGCTACTTGTGGGTCGCCCATGGAGCCCAACAGTGGTCTGTGCATAAATGGTAATGAGATTGTCTGGAACTGAGGGTGAAGGGAGCCTAAGGGTCTTGTGGGGTCTACCCATAGTGCTTGGGCCCAGGGAATCACAAGCAGGAGAGAAGTCTGGGAACTCCGGCAGTTAGTGCACACAGATTCTGACTCTGTTTTGTTTACTAATTGTGCAAATCGCTTAACTTCTTTGAGCCCCAGTTTTCTTATCTGTAAAACAGGGATAATAGGATCAACTTTTCAGAGTTGTTATAATAACAACACGTTATTTAAAGTACTTAGCACATAGTGTGCAAGTTTTCTTTTATGAATACTGGGATGTCAAACAAATGTATGCACATTTTAAGAGATGTTATCTATGTATTACTTGGAATAATCAGAAGTATCTGGATGCTGATGGTAACTACTTTGAGCACCTGTTGTAATTGCAGAAATCAAGCATGACTTTATTCACCATTTGTTATTGGTATATATTGAATATTACAATTTTAATACAATTCTTCCTTTCTTAAAATGTGTATACTTTTTTTGGCACCCTCTGTGGATTTCACCATTTGCTTTTTATTTATTTATTTATTTTTATTTTTGGGGGGGGGTTGGAGTCTCACTCTGTCGTCCAGACTAGAGTGCAGTGGCCACTCCGGCCACTGCAGCCTCAACCTGCTGGGCTCTGGCGATCCTTCCGCCTCAGCCTTCCAAGTAGTTGGAACTACAGGCGCATGCTACCACGCCCGGCTAATTTTTGATTTATTGTAGAGATGAGGTCTCACCAAGTTGCCCGGGCGGGTCACCATTTGCTTTTTAAAAAACAGACATATGCTAGACTCGGTGGCTCAGCCTGTAATCTTTGGGAAGCTGAGGTGAGTGGATTGCCTGAGCCTGCAGGTTCGAGACCTGCCTGGGCAACTTGGCAAGACCTC